GTTTTCTCTACTTTTTATTGATTCCTAAACAGATTATGGGTTTAAATTATTAACTCCTAATTATTTTATGGGTTTTTTCACTGACTTCTCTAAACAAATTATGTATTTACTTTATTGACTTATAAACAGATTATGGGTTTACTTAATTGATTCCTAAACAGATTTTGGGTTTACTTTATTGACTCCAGAACAAGTGATGGTTTAATTCATTGATTTGTAAACAGCTTAAACTAATTATGGGTTTACTTCATTGACTTCTCTAAACAGATTATGGGGTACCAGGCAAAGACTGTTGGTGATCTGCTGATTGTATTTTCTCTGAATGAATACATTTTTTACACTGTAAAATCTAGTAGAGAACAACAAACTACAAAATAATAAGATTTATTTGCAAAAATATCTAGTTTACTAATCAACATATTTGCTATTTACCATTTCGTAGAAATTTTTTTATCAGTGTATTGTTAAGAGAAATGCACAGATCTAGTTTGAAAAGTTTTAATGCATTAAATTAATAATATGTATCTGTATTACATGTATGATTTTAATAAAAGTAATTTATCATAGTTGTATAGGAGAACTGGAAAATGTAATCTTGAAAGAAGTCCTTACATTGAATAAGAAATTTGTAATGAACATCCAAATCCCTTACAGTTCGTGAAAATAGCCAATTTCTTTATTATGTTCATTGTTAAGATTTTAATAAGCTTTCATATTGCTCCTTACTGTTTTGTACTGTTACTATGACTACAAGATTAAACAGAATGGTTTCCTGTCTATTAACTTTCACTTGACAATGTCAGCGTGTGGTTGGAGAAAAAGGTAATAGATCAAAGTTGTTAAGAGAATTAGTGGTGATTAAAGTGCTGTTGGATATAAAGGTAACAATTATATAAATTCCAAGCTAGAAGTTGCTAGATATGATGAGTTAGAAAAAGCAGATTGTTTCATTTTGTATTAAACTTCAAATTCAGTGACCTAAATTGAACTTCATTACATTTAAGATATTTGAATGAACAACATCTTTTGTTACTTTGTAATAGTCTCCTAAATCTTCTAAGATAAAGTCTGCTTCAATCAAAAACAAGGTACCTAAATCTAGATTTTGTCCTTTTTAATGACTAAATACTTAGTGTAACTTGAAGCAACACAGTCTGCTGCATCACATTTACTGATCCAATGAAGAAAGAATTAATACTTCGGAACAATAGTTTTAACTACACAAGTCATTGTTTTGTTGTTGTTGTTTGTTTTTTTGGGGGGGGGAGTACACACATAAGGTGAGTATATCCAGTTTTTTCTCAGAGCTTTTTCTTTGGTGACTGATATGTTACAGGCAAATTTGAATGACGAACAATGCAGTATGTCTATGGGCATGTTCTAGATGTATTTCCCCAAAACGTAAATTTAAAATAATAGTGTTAATGATACCTAGCTTTTTGGCACCAAAAGTTTCTACAAATAAATCCTTCAAATCTTCAAAAATGGGGGAGGAAAGAGGATTGAATGTATAATTTTTCTTAAACTTAGATCTAAACATGACACCTATCCCAAAGTTAATCAGTTACAACCTGAAAAAACAAGTTCCTCCAAGAAAACAAAGTTAAACACTTCTCATGAGAGTGACAAAGAACAAAAGGTAAATCAAACAAAAGCAACTTAATGACTTTATTGGCTAAGGATTATACAAAACTGCACACACCTAGAATAAAAAAAAATCTGAAATATTATATTTAAAATAAGAAGCCAGAAAACACATGGTATTCCTGCATGTCACAACATGAATCAAATATAAGGATATATGTGTTACAGATTTCTCTTCTTTCTCACCACAGGTAAAACTGAAAAAAGTATTTTTCACATACTTATCAAATAAACTGAACAAATATGAATTAATCAAATAATAATAATGAGAAACCATAATAGCAATATTCTGATTACTTGAATAGTTGAAATAATTAAAAATATTAATAATAATAATAAGAAACACTAATTTCAATTAATTGATTATTTGTTTGACATTAACTGATTTAATGGAAATTAAAATTAACCGATCATTTTAGATGGTAATAATCTATGTAGTCAATGTTCATATGTATTTTATTACTAAAGTTAATCACACAGCTCTACTGTAAAGAAAAATTCTTCACCTCTCCAGTATTTAAAGCTACAAAAGTTACCCAAACCACATACATGTTGATGGACTTACTGCCACAGAAATGATTAATCTAAATATTAAATATACCACATCTGGCTTTGTATAATCAAGTTCTTTGTATGATGCCCTTCATTCACAAGGTACAGCTTTACATCTATAGTCCCATGGGCAGACCAGGTGTTACAACTATAATCCCATGGGCAGACCAGGTGTTAAACTGTATCTGCCAAGAGTAAGTTAGGTGATATCTCAGGGTTACAACTTCCCTTACGATTGAATAGGAATGACCAGTCACATGAGTAGTCCTAGCTGCTCTTTATAAGACTGATGTCACCAATTAAACTAGATAAAATGAGATTTAGTCAGACTGAAACATCATCTTTATTGAGTTGGTCAGCTTTGAAATAATTTGTGAGGAAGTATAGCCAATCTGATAAATCCACAATTCCAATAAAGATGAGTGTTGTTCAGAGATGCTGTATATGCATTATGTTTTGTGTATTTGAGTAAAGATTGTATTACTGTGTATTACATGTCCTGTTGAGTCTATTTATTTCTTAGCATAGACACAGTTAGTTTTAGTGGAACTCAGTATTAATACCTTATTTATTTTGCCAAACCTCCTGTTACATGGCAGATTTACAGATACAGAAGGCTCATCAATTTTAATGCTCAAAAGTAATTTCATATCATACATACTCCATGTTTTTTGTCATTAGGATTTTGTATTAGCTTTTTGTTTGATAAATACTGTACATTTAATACCAATTGTACTTAAAAGTTTGTTGGTATTTGCTCCATTGAGTATGTATTAGATTCTTGTCACACCTTTAGTATTTATTCAGTAATGGATAATGAGTCTCCCATTTTTACCTCTTCATTCTTATGTTGTTTTTTTAATATTAGGCAGTAGTATGGAGTGTTTTGAAGTTTAGTTAAATAAAGTTTAATGATTATTTACTATATTTTATTTTTTCTTTTCATTTCTTCAACTTGTGAAAAATATAAAGGTTATTAAGAATTCTCAATTCTTTCTTGCTATATCATATTTTTTCATAGTGATATTATTTAACAATTAGACTGTTAATGCTTTAAATAATTTTGTTCTTTACTTGTCTAATATATATATTTACAGTAAGAAGATTGCAGACCATCATTTTATTTATTGTAAGCCATTTCCAGTTTAACACCTTCCGTGATTTGCCCAAGATAACTTGTTTTCAGTTTAACCTCTTCCATGATTTGCCAAAGATAACTCATTTCCAGGTTAACCCCTTCCATGTTTTGCCAAAGATAACTCGTTTCTGGCTTAACCCCTTCTGTGACTAGCCCAAGATAACTCGAGCACCTTCCATATGTCAAAAAATATTGGACTGAATTTATTTGCATCTTACCATGTATTGAAATCAATGCTCACTAGATGGCATCAGAAATTGATCTTTATTGGATTTGTCTTGAATTGTGTATCATAAACACTGGAGAAAAGCATTCTTATTCTTTTCTTTCTTTCATTGAAATAATATGTATAATGGGTAAATTCAGATATGTAAAGTTTATTTATTAAGTATATTCTGTGTAGAAATATAATAAGAATCAAAATCATAAAAGAACTTTCATTTCATTAATACATAAATACAGGCTACCATAAGGCAATTTAGAAAAAAACTTTTATTTTTATTTATCTTATTTCCAAAAAAAGGCTGACAGAGAAAGGTTAACGTGTTATATGTAATACAGATGATATTAGCTGAATAATTGGAAAAAGTTTTATTTTTTGAGAGTTTTAACTTTTAGATACTTAATGAAATTGCATGCTAGAATAATTTGATGTGTTACAGGAGCATGGAGGACATCTTCCACTACGAATCAAAGCAGTGCCAGAAGGCTCTGTCATCCCTACACGTAATGTCCTTTTTACTGTTGAAAATACTGATCCTATGGTTCCTTGGCTAACAAACTGGTTTGAGGTATGATAATAGAAAGTTTAAAATTTTTACATTGAGGCTTGATGTATATTTTGCTTTTCCATTATGCATTTCAGGTCCAAAAATAAACCAGTTTATGAGTGAAGTAGTGACTATCACCCTATAATTATGGTTTAAGTTTGGTTTTAAAAAAAATCATATAAACTGTTGTCCTTAAGTTAAAGTTTTTGAAGATTTGTAATGTGTGTTTCTTGTATAAAAAGTAACCATGCAAGAACTGAATCCTTGTTGTAATAAGGCTGGTAATAAGGTGTTTTAGCTAACTGATTGGTTTGTAAATAATTGGATTTACATCCTACTGAGGTTTAATGGTTTTAGCTGATCGATTAGAAATATCTGCGTATTTAAATTGTACTAAAATAAGTCGTATGGAAACCTGTTGTATTAAAGCCCACTGGATTCTCTAAAACAATTTATAATGGACTTTTCTGAACTTTTTTTGGTATATTCATATATAGATATAACAAAACTTGAATCCTTTTTCCTCTCTATCAAAATGTGTTTATATATATATATAAATATATACACACACATACACTAAAAACTAATTGTGTTTAGAGGTTCTGTATTTATCATTTTGTCTCTGAAGAAATCTATCATCTTGTACACAGTTAAGTATTATGCAACCATCTTTATGCTCAATTTGTTATAGTCTTTATTAAAATGTTCCTCCCAAATCTCCCAGTTTTGGTACAGTTAGATGAGGTTTGAAATGTTATTCAGCTAAAACCACTACTGAACAAGACATGATCTGTTATTAGAACACAAAATAATGGCTAGCCATTGACCAAAATCCAAATACTTTTTTGTCTAACCAGACATTTTTTGTATGCTCAATCATGTTGACATATTGAGTATTAATAAAATAAGCATGTACTTTTATAACTGTAAAATTAAATAATGATAACATTAACTGGGGGTAGGAGGGTTACAGTTGAATCTAGCTTTAAAGGGTACAAGACTCGTACAGGAAAATATAATGTTGGCTTGAAACAGTAACTCTACAGCATAAGTTATTGGATTAAACTTCCTCAACCCCCATACTATTGTGACCTCTGTTTGCACCCTCAGATCACTGCTTACATAATATTCCTCAACTCCCTTACCATCATGACCACTGTTTGCACCCTCAGATCACTGATTACATGGATGAGGTTAAAGATTAGATATGTGAGCCACATGCTACCATTATTTGTCAGTCCTCGAATAGTGGGCAGGTACCAAAGGGCTGGAAGTTAGCTTATGTCACTCCTCTTTTCATGGAAGGTGATAAACATTGTTCCAGTAATTATAGGTCCATTAGTCTTACATGAATGATGGGAAAAGTTTTTGGAAGTCTAATAAAAGATGCTTTGCAACGTCATTTAACAAAGTTTAGATTTTTTTGGGTGTAGATTTGGTGTATCTGGATTTTCAGAAAGTATTTGACAAAGTGCCATATAAGAGTTTTGAAAAAAAGATCTCTATAGGTGTGGGGGATAAGTTAGCAAACTGGATAGAAATGTGGCTTTATAGAAGAAAGCAGAGGATTGTTACAAATGAAATTCAGTGTTAGGGCTCTGTCTTAGGACCTTTGCTCTTTTTGATTTACATCAATGACATAGATGAAGGAATGGTCAATAAATTACTTAAATTTGCAGATGTTATTAAGGTCTTTGGTGTTGCTAGCTGTGAAGAGAATGCTGCTGATTTACAAAAGTATTTAGATCATTTAGTGAGTTGGGAAAGTAAATGGCAGATGAGTTTTAATTATAATAAATCCAAGATAATGCATGTAGATTATCATAATTTGAATTATATGTATAATATGGATGAGAATAACCTCAACAGTGTTATGAAAGAAATGTAATCTTGGTGTAATAGTTGATTAGTCTCTTAAGCCATCCAAGCAATGTGCTGTTGCTATGGGTAGGGTAAATTGGATTTTAGGTTGTATGTACAGAAATATTGAATATAAGTCTAAAGAGGTTATAATTTCATTGCACAGGTCACTG